TATATAATAAATTATTGAATAAGATTATAAAAATGCAAAGACTTTTTATTATAATATTAGTATGAATAATAGAGTAAAAAACTTAAAACAATGATTTATTTACAATATAAGACTCGATATTTTCATTATCTCTATAACAAATATTTGAGTAATTTATATCGTTTGTTGATATGGTTAGGTCAGAATTTGGATATGATATATTTTTTTTAAATAAATACATTAGGGTCCCTATTGTTTGCATTTTATCTCATCCGGGATCCCTGTCACTAATAAAAAAAGCATTTTTTATATATATATAATAAAATGGCGGTCTGAAACTTTTTTTGGGTGATTTGGACTAAAAGGACCGCCACACACACACATATATGTATATATATATATATTAGTAGATGAGTGATCAAATGAAAATCACTCTCATTTGTGTAAACCATGTAAACCAATCTCATCTATCCATTTTCTTGATCAATCATCTCTTTCAATCAGGAGCATATCTCCGATCAATTAATAAATATTCTCTTACCAAAATCGATCGATAATGATTAATGAGTATTTTGAAGAAAAATTGCAGGCGATAATGAAGGTATGAATGTTTTATGAACAGAACAATGAAATACGTTTCATTGAATTATTTTCAATATGAATATTGAATATGTTTCATTAAATTATTTTCCTTTTCCCAATAAAATTAGTGCCCTTTTCTAATAGAAGTATTTTGTATCATAGTAAATTATGCAACAATTTCATCGATAAAGTTTTTGCTATCTGAACAAGTTTCATTAGCTTACTGCATCTATCATTACATACAAATTCATAACCATTAAGTGAACAATATAACCGGAAAAAAAATTGAAACAATTTCATCAACAATTGTTGATAAGAAAACAAAATTATCCAAAAATATTATATTACGCAACAAGTTCATCCACAAAAGTTTCATTAAATAAGTTCATCCATGAACGTGTTCATAAAACAACCTGAATACGTTTCATTAAATTATTTTTCATTTTTTTATTAAATTAATGCCCTTTTGTAATATAACATATTTTGTATACTAGTAAATTATGCAACGATTTAATGAAAAAGTTTTTGCTATCTGAACACGTGTTATTACGTTACTGCATTTACCATGCCATACAAATCAATAACCACTAAGTGAACAAGATAACCCAAAAAAAGAACTTTGAAACAATTTCATCAACAACTATTTAAAAAGACGATTGTGTTTTCAGCACATGAATCTGTTTCACTATTATGATAATGTTTTCGGTTCATGAATCTGTGTTTTAGTTGTGAATCATTATTTAGTATATGAATCTGATTTTGTGGATCAAACATTAAATGATTTTAAATTTCATTTTTTAAATCCGTATAATCCTTAAAACAAATAAAACATATTTAAAATTTAAAAAACTAAATTAAAAAAATATCTAACTCTTACCATATTAAACATTTTTTTATTACGTTTATTTAATTAACAAACCTTAATACCTTCCATTATCAATCAAAAACATTGTAAATGACAATTAAACCCTTAATGATTAAATTTAATAAAAAAAAAGAATTTTCCTATTGGTCGTAATCGGTTTGCACGGTTTTTAAGAATTGAGCGGTTTTCAAAGTAATTCATCTCTATATTAGTATTAACAAGACCAACTTTTTTAACTTATGGGCTATGACGCAAATATAACCCTAAGCCCAACATAAAGTCTAATATCTAACATGATCAAATCCAAATGAAGGGGCGCCTAAAAATCTCTAAACCAGTAAACATATCGACACATAAGACATTGAAGGTTTCTAAACTTTGAAATCCCTCAAGAACTCTATTAATCTATCGATTTTGTTAAGAACTCAAGACTCAATAATTGAATGTTGTGAAGTCGTGAATTTTGTTACTCAATATTCACAGTGGAGTTGTAACTTTGTTAATTTGTTTGTTTTCTAATATGTATTATATATTTATTTGTTTGGACTTTGGATTGCTTAGATTTTGGACTCAAGAACTACTTAATTATTAAATTTATTTGTTTAGATATTTTTGTTTTGTTAAAATGAATATTTAAACTAAAATTCTAAAGGCTCAAAACGCCTAAACCGGTCAGACCAGATTGCCTTTTCGTGGTCTGGTTTGATTGGTCTGGGCACTTGATGTCAAACCATTCGATTTTTTTTTTATAAACCGCCATTACGATTTGGTTTATGGTCTAAGGGGTTAAACCGTCCAATCGGACCGTGAACACCCCTAGTGAATGTGATAAAATAATGAAAAATATGAAGAAAAAAACCCAATAGCCTTTCATATTTCAAATGATTAAGTCCTTAAATATTTTTTAAAACAAAAAGTACTTATATCTATAAAATGAAACAAATATACCAAAATGTACTTGCATTTACAAAAAAAATACTTACATTTAAAAAGGACTACTAATAAAACTTATTTTAATTAAAAATAAAATATACATTGTGTGAGATTTTTCAACTTAAGAAAAATAAAAAATGATTTAAAAAAGGATCATTGCTGAATTTTATTTCTATTAAAAATAAAATATAGTTCGTTGGTGATTTATTTGTAATTTGATTAAATTACTGATGAATTAACGATAAAATTTAACCAAATAGATAATTATTTAAAAATCATCGCTAATCCATCGATGAAATGATATCACCGATAAAATTCAAGCACGATCTTTCACACTTATTAACATATTATTGTGTTAAAGCGTCTGACGGTGGTCAAGTTAGCGATCAATTATATATAAGTAATTCATGCATATATACCAATGAACACTAGCAACGAAATTTAATTAATTATGTATTTAGTTAAATTTTACCGTTAATCTATCTGTAATTTAATCAAATAATTTTCTATTTCTTTTTAATTTAAAAAATCATCAACATAATATATTCTATTTTTAATTAAAATAAATTTCATCAATATTTTTTTTAATGTAAGTATTTTTTGGGTTCAAAAAATGTTTAGTGACTTAATTATTCAAAATATGAAAGTCTATTTGTTTTTTTTTTCCAATTTTTTTCCATTATTTTTCTATATTAACCAGTTTTATATGTCATAAAGATGTATCTAACAGATTTTAGAAATTTCAAGAAGTTATTTAATAGTTTTTTGATTGTCCGAGGGTTTATTTGTTCCAAAAAATTGTTCAAAAACTTAATTATTCAAAACACTAAAGTTTATTAGATTTTTGTAAAACTTTTTCTTGTAATTTACTCAAAAAAAAATTATACTACAAAATCTTTGAGTGTATTTACAAGATATTCAATTTATTAAGGGGAAGACTAATGGACCCCTAAGGTGTACCAATGGCACTCCTAAAATTATCTCCATCATTTTTTTTTTGTTTTTTTGTTGTTTTTACTTTTTGTTTTTTTATTTAAATTATTAATTAATTTTTTTACTTTATTATTTAATTTTTTTTTCTTATTTAAATTATTAATAATTTA